GTAAAAAGTGAAGCGCGTGAACTCCTTTTGTTTTTGTATGCATTTGTTTTGTATTAACTCCGAAGAATCAATGTTGATCTCTATCGTCTGCTTTTCTGACATTTCAGTCGGTGGTTAAGAGTTCATGCACTTTTTAATCTACCAACTTCGAATATAGAGGACACTTTGGGGAGGCTCCATAACGTGTGGATAAGTATTGGTGGGTGTATTGGTCGACATCCAACCATCTGCAAAGTGAAGCCCACCTGAGGCCCTCCCCCAGGACAGGTGGCATGCTCTTTGCAAAGGTGCGTATCTTGTGGGGAAGACACTAAAATATCCCCATCCTCCTGTAGCTCAGTTCCTCTTTCAAACCTTCAACCCTTCACCGTCCAGATGAACTCTTCTGATTTCCAGTCTGGAGTTCAAGTTCAGCAAATATGTAATGAATGCTTACTCTGCACCTGGTGTTATCCTAGGTGCTGAGCACATGGAAGTGGACAAGGCAGATTCACTCCCTATTCTCTCAGAGTTTACAGTCTGAATTGTTGGTGGGTGGGGGGTCCTTCTAAATTTTCAAAACATGAAAAAACTCAATGATTGAAAACGTGTTGGGCCTTCCCCAAGAATTGCAAATTCATTACTGTATTGTAAGTGAGTTTAATTATGATAGTTCACAGCTACGATTATGACAAGACTTTACTTCTCTTCCAAATCAAATGCCAAAACTTTCAGGAGGCAGTTATAATGCATTCTTCAGCACCTAGCACAGAACCTGCCACTCAATACACATTTGTGGACATAATGGGTGATTTTCTTCCAGTTTCATTCATTCTCCCCCAAAATCGATGATTTCCTTCTGTCTCTTTCATCTTTCAGGAAACTAAAGCAATAGATAAAATCTTTTTTTTCTGTGTGCTTTAACTTTGGATAACTAAAGCAAGAATTTGTTTTTATAGCATTTGCCGTAATTTTCAAAGTACTTTTACTAATTTGTTCTTCACAAAAATCATAGACTTTTACAAGAAACTTAGAGTTTAAGTTTCAAGTCCATGATAGCCAGGGAAGCATTGAAATCAGGACTATATATATATAAATTGATATTACTAATATTTATTAATTGATATTACTAATATCAATAATATTTATATTTGTATATTTATATATACAATTTATATATATAATATATATATATTTATATATATATTTATATATAATTGATATTAGTAACTAGTAATTTCTCATTTTAATTCCATAAAAGAAATCCCCTAGGAATTTGATGTCAGGTGACAAATGCTTCTGAAAGTCCTTAAATAATCAATACAGTGTAAAAAGATGTAAGTGATAGGTATAAAGGAATAAGTCCTCTTCATGTGGGAATCATTCTAAAAATATTATAGTCACAAGTCTGTGCTTCAAGCTTAAGGGAAGAACACAACTTGGGGACTGTTTCCCCTCAGCCGTCTGTAATCCAGAAAGGTGGAGGGAGAGTCAGGGGACTCACGTTCCAGCTCCCTCGTCTCTTAACTAGTTCAGTGACTTAGCACAAGTCATTCAAGCTCTCTGCTTCTCAGGTTTGTATTTTTCATCTGTGAAAGCAAGTTTCAGGATTAAGTGGAAAAAAAATTTTTTTAAAGCTTTGCAGGTTATAGAATTCCCATATATGTTATCTCCTTTATCCATAACTAGCAGTTCTAACATGTTAGGAATGTGTCATTTCACCTTAAAGGGTAAATGTTTATTATGTTCAATAAAGCCTTCATCTCAGGCATCAGATTGTAATGACTCTGTTTAATGACCGGATACCTGCTTTGGAAATAGCCTGTCTGTGGCAGTACAGTCACCTAAGTGGTAAGCACAAGTATTGGTAAAGAATAATCATGGTCCTCTTCATAAATTTAATGAATCTTCTTTGTTCTGAATATTTAACATTACCAATTCAGAGGATGAATTTCTATCTAATCAATTATAAGAATTAGAACTAAATGTATATCATATACACGTAACTTAAGAGTAAAATCTACATTTTGCACTTTCTTTGATTTATCCATAAATACCTCGAGTGAAGTGCTCTAAAAAGAAATTGTTTTCTTTTGAAAACAGCCAAATCATAAAAGATAACCCTTTTTGTTAACAAACCTGTGAATTTACGTATATTACTTTGGCCACTAGAGGGAGTCTACATCGTCACGAAGGCCAGGAAACCTGTGACCAGGAAACACGGGTTGTTCCCTAGAATGTTGATAACGCATCCATTGTCTGCCCACAAAATTATATGCATAGAAGATGTCATGGCAATCAGCCTTAATTTTATCGGGTCCATTTTCTGCCCCCCTCCCAAAAAGGAATTTTCCATCGTATTTTATTTTGCTCTTAGAAAGATAGACAACTTTCAGAAAGTGATCATTGAAAATGCTTCCTCAAAATGATAGATTTAGCAGTCGGAAAGACGCGGGATTAAAGAGCATCTCTTCGTGATAACCCGATCACTAATTTTGTTAAAGCCCATTTTAGTACTGGTGAAAGATGGAATCTGGAAATGAAAATCTTCTCTTTCTCCCTCAGGCCCTCACCACATAGGCAGCAGCTGTGCTGGCTTTTTTCATTCTGACCTGCTGATACACATCACCCCTAACCTGCAGGGACTTCCTTCTGGGGTGAGAGGGTAATTGGGTCTCATGTCCGGTCAGTCCTTAGCCCCTCTTCTGAGACCGCCGAACAAGTGGCTTCGTGTGTGTATTTTCGCAGAGCCAGTTTATAAATGAGGAACTGATCTGAAACCACCTGCTCGTTTCACCTCGGCTGCGATTCGGGGGGGAGCAGTCACCTCGGCTACCCAAATCGGGGGGGGGGGAGCAGTCACCTCGGCTACCCAAATCAGGGGGGGAGCAGGGGCAGCCGTTCCTCCTCAGCGTGACTGGTTTTAGTCCGCAGCATGTAACTGAAGAGTTCAAGTGTTTTAAAAAAATTTCAGGTTTCCAACAGGACCTGAAATTTGGGTTTATGCTTAAGTGTCTTACCTTACACATGACCGGCATTTGATTTGATTCCTTTCTGGGTTGTTTGCTCCCCATTACCCAGGTATGTGGAAGTCACCCAGAGGATCACAACACAGTGGATAATTGAAAATGTGGGCAATTATTTCAGATACCTATCTGTCTATCTTTCTAGCTATCTATCATCTATCAATCTATCCATCCATCCATCCATCCATCTCTATATATAAATAGAGAGGTATAGATGTAGATATAGATATAGATATATTTGGCTGTTTACCTTATGTGCTCACAGGGAGATACAGGCATCCTTGACATTCTAACAGGCACTGTCTTCCCCCACATAAGACCTGACCCAGAGGGCCTGGTGGGGTTTGCCAGCACAGTGCCCCTGTCTATGTGCTGTCGGTGGTGACAGGCCAGTCCTTTTATTTCCTTTCCAATTTGTTGTGGATCAATACTTCTGTGAAATACAATAAAAATAAACGACTAGAAAAGTGAAATAAAAAGCATTTGAAATATTACCTCACTTTTTTTTAAATAGTTTATTGTCAAATTAGTTTCCACATAACACCCAGTGCTCATCCCCACAAGTGCCCCCCTCCATGCCCATCCCCCCCTCCCCCCCACATCCATCAGTCCTCAGTTTTTGTCAGCATTCAAGAGTCTCTCATGGTTTGCCTCTCCCTCTCCCCCACCATTTCCCCCCTTCTTCTCCCCCATGGTCCTCTGTCAAGTTCCTCCTAATCCTCCTATACGTGCAAACATATGATATTTGTCCTTCTCTGCCTGACTTATTTCGCTCAGCATAACACCCTCAAGGTCCATCCATGTTGCTACACGTGGCCAGATTCCATTCTTTCTCATTGCCATGGAGTATTCCATGGTATAGATAAACCACATCTTCCTGATCCATTCATCTGTTGATGGACACTTAGGCTCTTTCCATGTTTTGGCTATTGTGGAGAGTGCTGCTATGAACATTGGGGTACATGTGCTCCTATGCCTCAGCATTTCTGTATCCCTTGGGTAAATTCCTAGCAGTGCTATTGCTGGGTCATAAGGGAGTTCTATTGTTAGTTTCCTGAGGAACCTCCACACTGTTTTCCAGAGGGGCTGTACCAGTTTACATTCCCACCAACAGTGTAGGAGGGTGCCCGTTTCTCCACATCCTCGCCAGCATCTAGAGTTCTCTGATTTGCTCATTTTAGCCACTCTGACTGGCGTGAGGTGGTATCTCAGTGTGGTTTTGATTTGTATTTCCCTGATGAGGAGGGATGCTGAGCATCGTTTCATGTGTCTGTTGGCCATCTGGATGTCCTCTTTGGAGAAGTGTCTGTTCATGTCTTCTGCCCATTTCTTCACTGGGTTGTTTGTTTTTCGGGCGTGTAGTTTGGTGAGTTCCTTATAGATTCTGGATATTAACCCTTTATCTGATATGTCATTTGCAACTATCTTTTCCCATTCCGTTGGTTGCCTATTAATTTTCTGGGTTGTTTCCTTGGCTGTGCAGAAGCTTTTAATCTTGATGAGGTCCCAACAGTTTATTTTTGCTCTTGATTCCCTTGCTTTTGGGGATGTGTCAAGTAAGAAGTTGCTGCGGTGGAGGTCAAGGAGGTTGTTTCCTGCTTTCTCCTCTAGGGTGTTGATAGTTTCCTGTCTCACGTTCAGGTCCTTTATCCATTTTGAGTTGATTTTTGTGCATGGTGTGAGAAAATGATCTAGTTTCATTCCTCTGCATGTTGCTGTCCAGTTCTCCCAACACCATCTGTTAAAGAGGCTGTCTTTTTTCCATTGGATATTCTCTCCTGCTTTGTCAAAGATCAGTTGGCTGTATACTTTTGGGTCCACTTCTGAGTTCTCAATTCTGTTCCATTGGTCTATGTGTCTGTTTTTGTGCTAATACCATACTGTCTTGATGATGACGGCTTTGTAGTAGAGGCTAAAGTCTGGGATGGTGAGACCTCCCGTTTTGGTTTTATTTTTCAGTATTACTTTGGCTATTCGGGAATATTACCTCACTTTTTACTGTTCTATTCAACAGACATAAAACGGCTCTGTGTAGTTGCTGGAGGAGTGTCCAAACACTTCCTCTCCCTTTCTGCGTCTGATGGTGGGCGTTGCTCACGCAGGTCGTGGGGGCTGCAGCTGAGCGCTGGTGGCCCGGCCGTGATCGCTGCTGCCCCACGCCTTCCTGAGCGTCCACCCAGAGAGCACGCAGGTGGCTCTGCCGATCCGGCGGCTGCAGAACAGTGACGGGAAGAGAACTCCCTTACCCTCCCTCGTCTGGAGCAATGGAGGAGTAGAAGGTCCTGCTTCCCAGCCGAAGGCAGAGCAGGGGTAAATACAGAAGGAACCGCGTGAAAAATTACAAGGCGGGTTTGACGGCAGTGCCGGCTTAATGAAAATAAGGTTCCAAATGTTTGACCCTGGGCATATAATTAAAAGTTTGTTGCAGATGATATTTTCTAATCACCTCACACTACAAAAGGTTCGAAATTAAGTTATTTTTGTCTTATGAATTTGGGCCAGGAATGAAGCAATTAAAGGGGGTCTTCATGTTCATGAAATATTCAATAGGTAAAGAATCTGGAGAGCTTAGTAAAATAATAGACTGAACACATTGCCTTATTTTTCTCTTTCTTTTTAGTTGCCCTCTTGAAATGGAGCTGATGGTAATTTTGTCTCCCAAGCCTCACCGCATATTGAGGATAGATTAACTAAACAAACATACCGGTCTGGGAATCAGGAGACCCGGTTACCATCTTTTCACTACTTACTAGCCATCTGGCCTCCAGCAGATCACTTTCGACCTCAGTTTTCACTTCTTAAGATGGGAAGAGGATCAGTTCTCTGTCTTGCTCACAGGCTCACTAGGAGGACCGGGTTAATTGGTTAGCAGGCTTTGGAGACCATCAGGTGTGTTACACACACATAGATGTGTGTATGTATGTACATGTATATGCATGCGTGTGTGGATGGCATTACTCTTCATTCGTCTTAATCAAACATTTATTTTCTCAAACTCTCTTGAAAAATACATCCCGAGTTTATTGTTAACCCACTGCATGTATATTTTATGTTCCTTTCTTATCCCACCCCCAGTCGACCCATGACTTTAAGCATACAATTTTTTTAATTCTTGTTGTAAAAGGTAGAGGAAAGAATCATTTAAATATCATATCCATGATGAGCCTCATTTGACCAGTGATGCTGAGCTTTGTTGTGGTGCTGAGCTTGTTAGACTGGATGAAAGGGAGTCCTGCCTCCGAAGGCTCAGTGCCAACACACACACACCCTTGACACTGGGCTGTCTCTCTCTAGCCATGGCCAGGCCTTCGATTTTTGCATGATAATACTTTATCATCCTGGTTATGCTCACAAATGGCCATAATGGGGCTTCCTTTGGAGAACAGTGATTGCAAATGAGAACACAAGGTCATTGCCCTGAGAGGAAAGAAGCAGGTGGTCTCAAGGCCGTGACACTTGGCAGAACCGAGTCCTAATCAGCCTCTTCAGCCCCTGGGGAAACAGGTCTGAACCACTTAAATCTAAATACGAAATTCTAGAAATGGAAAATGGAAAAGTACTTTTCACCCTAGTAGAGTGGCCTCCAGAAGAGTTACTTCTGACTCGAGAACAAATGGAAAGAATATGGAACTTCACCCATCCACCCATCTGGCCCAATATTTATTGAGCACCTATCAGGAAACTAGGGCAGTGCTTGGTGCCAGCTAGAGAGAAGCAAAGAAAAAATAATCTGGGTCCTGCTCACAGAAAATACAGTTTATTGTAATAATAGATATGGGAATGGCTTGTTTTCCTTTTCTGCTTTGAAGGTGTATGCAATGTGATAAAGTCAGAGAAAGCTGCTCAAGACCGGCTTGTGTTTATTTTTACCCGTATACAATTAGAGCTGTGATTTGCTGGCCACTCCAGCTTTTAGTCTCTGTTCACTCCCCTAAGACATTCTGCAAAATGTCTCTGCCCAATTTCTGTTGTTTTTAGTGCTGAACTAGCAAAGTCAAGGGAGGGCCAGAGTGAGGTCCCGACTCCATCCTCCGGGGTGTGGTTGTCTGCTCTGCAGTCCGAACGCCCCACTTTGTCAGTAAATACAGATTAACCATCTTCTTGGGGACTGACTCACACCTATCGCCTAAAAAGAGACATGAGTAAATGAGAACGCCCACTTATTAATTTACAGTTGGGGATGGACCCTTTCTGAGACACAAATGCTTGAATATTCTAATCAGGATGACTCCTTGCTGACATCTAGGTAACTCCAGGTCACACTGATCTTCCAGAGGCTGCTTCATGAGAATGGAATCAGAAGCACTTTGGGGCAGGTATCTAGTGTCAGCGTATCGTGTATTCATTTCTCTGATTCTTTCTCTTTATTTCATCTGTAAATTTATTTTCTGATCACGTGTTGCCCACAGAGGACTCTTGGTTGATGCTGACTAACTACAATCCTTTGAGAATCTAGACTCTAGGAATCTGTAGTCTGTACTTTCCAGGATGAACGCATTTGAATTATGTGATAAAGCACAGCCCTTTGGGTATTCCCGGGAATTCTGTGACAAGCCTGGTCAATACTGAAGAGTCCTGAGTGGGGAAGGCGCCCTGATCTGGGAGTTTCGAGGCAGGAAGCTTGCTCTGGCCCCTCCCCGGAGTGCGAAGGCACCTGACCGCCTCAGTTTTGGTGGGGGGGGGAGGGGGTGAGACTGGGTGAGCAGTAAGGGCCTCTAATGTCCCCGTGATCCCAAGCTGCCGGCGCTAGATGCACTCTTGCTAGTGTCTCGGGCTACGTTGACCTGCGAAGTACTTTTTGTGCCATTGCCATTTTGTTGACTGCATTCCTTTATGACTGATGGCTGAGACACCGGGGCGTCAATGGTGAGCAGAAGCAAGACTATTGCATGTAGACTTGACAGTGACTATGGAGGCCGCCCCCACCCCGCCTGTAACCCCTGAGATGCCAGCACCGCCGTTGCCACCACAGCCGGATGTTTGTATCGGTGCGACTTACACGTACGCTGGCTGCCTGTGCCCGTGGGATTCCCACTTTTCCAGCAGTCTCTGTCCTTTGACGGTGGACAGACGTTAAAATAGGGAGAGGTGGATATCCATGTGGCCTCTCTCGTCTTTCATTTCAGAGCTTTTGGGAGCACTATTATAAGTCATTTTCTGCCGTGGTCACTAAGCCAGCTTAATTGCCCTAAACTCCGTTACATAGAATGGTTGAATTTGTGTTGATAAATGAGGACATTTATACGTTTTGATAAAGAATACCATTTTGATAAATGTTTATGTCAATTTGGGCTTTTTGAAACTGTTTAGAAGCTGTGAATGTTGATGTAGAATGTTTAAGTGATACTTAAGCTATTTATATGAGTCTTATCACTTTCATTGTCAAACTGCCCCGGCCCCAGCCGCAAGCAGCTTTTACCCCAGGAGCTGCTCTGTCCCAAAGCACTGAATTGTTATAAAACCGGCGGCGGGGATGGAGTGCTGAATTCCGGGCGCGGTGACACGCGTGCAATCCCTTCCTACCCTGAGTATTCGCTTCCATTTCTTACTGGAAGGCATAAAACTAATTGCTATGTGCATTTTTAAGCCACAAAAATGTCCTGGCAGAAAATGAATGCCTGGGGATATTTGTATCCACATCCCACAGTGGAGAGAGCAGGAGAAGTAGTTCCAGGGAAGGGAGAAGGGTAAGTCTGCCTCGAAACATCTCTTCAGTTTCCAAAATTCATTTGACGTATTCTCTTTTGAATAGAACAAGTCTCAAATATTTCTTCAACCACAGCGCAACAGATAGACGTTATTGAAAATGCATGTTATCCCTTCAAATTTGGGAATGAATAATACATAAATTTTCTGTGTGTGTGTGTGTGTGTGTAACCAGCATTTTCTAAGCAGAAAAAGGGGATTGCAAATTATAAGGATCTTAGAGCTACTTGACTTCCATGTAGATTGCAAATGAGAGTAGCTCTCTATGCCCCCAAATACACAACATCTGGGTTTATTCATTACTTTCTATTTATTTATTTATTTGTTTTCTTAATTTTTTAATGTTTATTTATTTTTGAGAGAGAGACAGAGCGCCAGCAGGGGAAGGGGCAGAGAGAGAGGGAGACACAGAATCGGAAGCAGCTCCAGGCTCTGAGCTGTCAGCACAGAGCCCGACGCGGGGCTCGAAGCACGAACTGTGAGATCACGACCTGAGCTAAGTTGGACATTTAACTGACTGAGCCACCCAGGCTCCCCTGCCCATTACTTTTTATTTTTTTATTTTTATTTTTTATTTTTATTTTTTTTTTAAATGTTTTATTTATTTCTAGGAGAGAGAGAGAGAGAGACAGCGTGAGCAGGGGAGGGTCAGAGAGAGAGGGAGTCACAGACTGAAACAGGCTCCGGGCTCCGAGCCGGCAGTCAGCACAGAGCCCGACGCGGGGCTCGAACCCACGAACCGCGAGATCAGGACCTAAGCGAAAGTCGGACGCTTAACCGACTAAGCCACCCAGGCGCCCCTGCCCATTACTTTTTAAATAGAATGTTTTATCGCAAACATGGGAAAGGTGATGACCTTGAATAGTCGGTTTTATTTTAAAGACTATGTAGTGATGGGATATTCTCCTAGAATATCTTTTTAGAAAAAAGCATTACATCAAGATGTAGTGCTCCCTATTTATAAGAGGTATGTGTATTTTAACATAGGAAGTCCTTAGCTGCAATTTATTTGACACATTTTCCAAGAGTGAGATGCCGGGTGGAACTCAGAATGAAATACAGATTTTTACTAGACTATTGGCTAGTGAGGGGCTGTGTATGATCAATACAGACAATGGGTATTTTAACATTCATTAATTTGATTAATAAATCGTAGTGCAGAAAGGAAATGTATTAGGCTTTTCCTGATTTGGGGGATAATAGTATCTGTAGATATGTGTCTATAGGCGTCAGCATATAAGATAGGTCCTTGTGTTTTCGGACAATAAACTAGGGGTTATATGTGTGGGTGCAGGGTGCATTGTGAGCAAATTCAGTTGTTACACCCCCTCTCCTTTTCCAGGAAATCCTAGAAATAATGTAGAATTTATCATCCGGTTGTGAGGATTTTGAATTTATAGTAAGTAGTCACTTCATTGGTTCTTTAGATATTGAGCTCTGGTGGGACACCGTAAATGTGACTTCTATTTTCAAGTTTGATGTTCATATGTATTTTAAGGGATTTATCTCAAAAAGTATGCAACATATTTCAAAATAAGTAAGAATGTTTTTAAAGGTTAAAAAGTAGATAGTTATTTTATGAAAACCAATTTAACGCTAGCAAAGGAATGCAAGTCTATGTGAACTTAATAAGAAACAGCTCAAGAATTTATTTTTAAGTCAAAAAGTGTTTAGCTCCCAGTGCCTAGAAACCGAACCCCCCAAACTTGCACTTCCGCGAAAGCTGAAATGAAAGCTCACCGGTAAAGGCGCGTCTTACAGGGAAGGGTGGGGACTTCCTACCTGTGTCTTTTCTCATCCAGCGCACCCTCAACTACTCATTCGGTGCCGAGCGCCCAATCCACATGCATTACATAGTTCTTGCTAAATTAACAGGTGAATTTTTAAAAGGTGGGGGAGGAAAGAAGGAAGAAGGGGCCTAGGAAATGGTAACCGCGGGAGTGTTTTAGAAGCCTTTGCGTGGCCTTCGGGTCCCTACAGCTTTGCTCGGGGAGGGGTGGAGATGGAGGGTGGAGGGCGCCCGGAGGAGCCGCCCAGAGCGGTCCCGGGCGCAGTGATCCCGCTAGAATTTGGGGGTTTGTGTGCAGACATCCGTTTTATTGCCACGGCTCTCACTGAGGCAGGAAGTGAGTTTTACGCTGAAGACAGGAGCCCAGAGTGTAGGGAACCGTGGTTGAGTGTTATTATTTGGTACAAAACGGTGTTGTCTGGATTGTGATATGGGACAGTGAGTGAGCTCCGCAGGCTCAGAACACCGGGGAGGGAAGTGTGCCCGGCGGGGAGGTACCGCCTCTCCTTGAACCCTGGCAGCGCCCGAAGCAGTGGGAAGCCCAGGGCCTCTTACCACGAGGGTCTTGCGGATAACCCGAGGCAACTCCACTGGAGATGAGAAGTCTTTTATCTAGAGAAAAGACCTATAAGGAACGAGTGAGGCTTTTATGAGTTATTACTCCTCTCACAATACTCAAAGCAGGTGGAGTTATTTTCCCAGCTATACAGAGTAACACACCGTTGGAAAATACTTAGAGAAACTTTGAATTATCCAAGAACTAATTTTTTCTTTTTTTTTTTTTTTCAAATTTACATTCTTGAACATCTGGTGTATGCCACATACTTTTAGCTGCTTTGCGTTGGGTTCTTTCTTCGCATTGACTTATTTTCTTAATTGAGATATAGTTCACACGCTATAAAATCCACCTTATAAAAGTGTACAGTTAAGGGGCACCTGGGTGGCTCAGTCGGTTGAGTGTCCGACTCTTGGTTTCGGCTCAGGTCTGGTCTCACGATTCGTGGGATCAGGCCCCACATTGGCGTCCGTGCTGCCAGTGAGGAGCCTGCTTGGAATTCTCTCTCCCTCTCTCTCTGCCCCTCCTCCGCTTGCATTTTCTCCCTCTTTCTCTCTCCCTCAAAATAAATAAGTAACCTTTATAAGGAGGTGTACAATTAATCATATGTTAGTATATCAGTGAGGCTGTACAGCCATCACCGCTATCTAATTCTGGAACATTTTCATGACCCCACGACAATACCCCATTACCAATGACTCCCCACTTTTCCCCCTCCTCATCTTCAGATAATCACTAATCTACTTTTTCTCTCTATGGGTTTGCCTATTCTGGACATTTCATATTGTATCAATTGAGTGGTACAATACGTGACCTTTTGTGTCTGGCCTCTTTCACGGCGCATATGTTTTCATGTTGTAACATGTCCTGCACTGCGTTCCTTTTTATGGCTGCATAATATTCCCTCAGGCAGATATGCACCACAGGTGTTCATCCACCCATCAGTGGGTGGACATTTGGATTCTGTCCACTTTTCGGTGATTAGGAATAAGGCTGATATGAACATTTGTGTACCAGCTTTTGTGTGGACGTGTGTTTTCATTTTTCTTGTGTATAGAGCCAGGAGTGGAATTGTTGGTGTGTTGATAGTTCTGTGTGTAACTTCTTGAGGACTGTTTCTCACAGAGGCTGTACCACTTTGCGGCCCTCTGAGTGGGTGTGAGGTGGCATCTCACTGTGGTTTCGATCCATGTCTCTAACCGCAGGGACGTCGAGCATCTTTTCGTGCGCTTAGTGGTCTTTTGTACATCACCAGAGAGGGAGAAATGTGGAGAAGTGCTTTTGTTTAGTACTACTATGCATTTCGGACTTAGTAAACAGACAAAAATTAAGGCAGACTTTAATTCTCTTCGTCACCGAACATTTATTGATCACCGTCTATGTACCTGCTGGCAATTGCTGGGGAAGGTGGCATTTATATGTACTTTTAAGTGAAATCATCTCTGAACTCGGAAGAAATTTGTGAATGATAATTATGAGTGTACATATTTTTTATTTATATTTTTTTTAAAAAAAGATTTTATTTTTAATGTTTTATTTTACCCCCATCGTGGGGCTCGAACTCACAACCTCAAGATCAAGAGTCACATGTTTTTCTGACTGAGCCAGCCAGGTGCCCCAAATTTACATTTTTTTAATGTTTATTTATTTCTGAGATAGGAGAGACAGAGCATGAGTGGGGAAGGGGCAGAGAGAGAGGGAGACACAGAATCTGAAGCAGCTCCAGGCCCTGAGCTGTCAGCACAGAGCCCGACGTGGGGCTCGAACCCACGAACCGTGAGATCATGACCTGAGCGAAAGTCGGATGCGTAACCGACTAAGCCAACCAGGCGCCCCAAAAGTTTACATATTTTTAAAAGTAAATCTCTTTATTATATCTGAATTCTATAATAAATTATATCTTGGCATTATTTATGCTGCTTAGAGAATCTATTAATTTACGTAATTATTAACAAATCTGTATACAGTGTTTAGTGTTTCCATCACGTATTGCTGTAGGCATGTTAAAAATATGAATTCATTTATCCTCATGACAACCAGTAGTAGATAGTATCATCATCCCCATTTTACAGATGAAGAGACTGAGGCAAAGAGAGATCAAGGGACTTGCCCAGCATCACACGATATGGCTCTGAAGTGCCGCTTTGCAGCTCACAGGCTCTTCCGTCGCCTTGTGTTAGGTGCGGTCACTCGTGCTGACGGCGTGTAGCCCCGTAGCCCGATCGTTCGCTTATTTGCCAGGAATTGGTTAAGTACCTACGTTCTGCGCGTCACACTCCCGGCTCCGGAGAAGCACCGGTGGAGACCCCGGACGGAGGCCCGGCCCGTGGGGACGCGGCCCACGGGACGGACCTCGCCCTCGGAGCGGGGAGCCGTCACATGCGGGGCGGGGTGTTAGGCCGTCCGCGTAGGCGGAGCGGCGGCTGGGGAGTCGGGGAGGCTCTTGGGGACACGAAGCGTGTGAGCAGCAAGGGGAGTGGAGTGACCCCAGGGCGTCTGGGGGACGGACGTCCAGGCTGAAGGGGCTTCCCGCACAGGCCCCAGGGGCGCAGGGGGCGGCGCCTTAGGCGGCTGCTGGGGCGGTGACGCGGGTCCGGGGGCGGAACACCACCGCTCCTGGAGGACGTTTGGACGTCGCGTGTGGCTCACGAGAGAGAGAGTCGGGGCTGAGTCCGGGAGTCCTGGCGGGGCGCCGGGCGGGCGGGCCTGCTGCGCGCTGGTCACTGGGGGGTCCGGGGCGCGGGGGTCGTTCTGACGCGGTCGGAGTGTCAGCGGCCCTTGCGCCCCTCGGTGCGGGCGTCGACTCGGGCCCGCGCGGGGGCTCGGCCGCGCTGCCCCCAGGGCCCCGACAGAGGCCCAGGGCGGGAGGGGGGGGATGGCCGAGCTCGGGTGCTGGGGGGGCGGGGGGGGCAGGAAGGGCCGGGGCTCGGCCGCGCTGAACCCAGGGCCCCGACAGAGGCCCAGGGCGGGGGGGGGGCGGCCGAGCTCGGGTGCTGGGGGTGGGGCGGGGGGGGGAGGAAGGGCCGGGGTGCGCCCCCCCCCCCCGCTGGGCCCGCCGAGTCCTCCCCGTGTCCCCCTAACGCAGCGTCACCCGTCCTTAACTGCACGGCGGAAACGGTATGTCCCTGCGCAGCTCAGCAGTGAGGGCGTTCCGGAACTTTCCTCGTGAGCCTCTGTTGTTCAGGGCTCGCCGCAGACGCGGAACCGGCCATCTGCCCGACGGGGGTTTCTAAGCAGTTGACTCGCGGCGCTTGAGGGCCTGGTGAAGTCGGAAACCCGCAGGGTTACCGGAGGCAGTTGCAGTTTTGGGTCCGAAATGCACAGGGCTCGCCAGCAAGCGGGAAACCCGGACTTCACGTGGCAGCCCCGAGGCTGAATTGTTCCTCCCTCAGGAAAGCTGTTATTATATTAAGGTCTTCAGCTGATTAGGTGAGGCCCACCCATGTTATGGAGGGTAATCTGTTCTGCTTAAAGTCGGTTTATAAATGTTAATCGCATCCACAGATACCTTTACACCAGCACCTGGATTGGTACCTGACCCAGCCGCTGGCACCGTAGCCGAGCCAAGTTAACACGTAAAATTAGCCGTCACAGTGACTTAATTTGCTCAGTCTACGCTTCTGATTTGGCTGCAACTCGTTCCACCATACTTCTACACTGCACTCTGTCTATTCCAAATGCACAGTAGTTATCTACTGCTGTGTAGCAAGTTACCTGGGGCCCAACTTTAGCAGCTTAAATCCACAAACATTTATTATGTCACGGTTTCCGAGGCTTGGGGGATCTGTGAGTCGCTTAGCTCGTCGTGGCCACAGCAGCACGAGGAGGCCGCCACGGTGCCCGGAGGGGCTCTGGCCGTCGTGAGGGTTAACTGGGGTTGGAGAGTGCGCTCACCACACAGGCCTTGGCAACAGCAGCTGGTTTTCCAGAAAAGTGCTCCGACAGAGCGAGAGCCCAGTACAGAAACCACAGTCTTTTCTAACCTAATCTTGGAAGTGACATAACTTCACTGTTTGTCACACAAGCCCATCCATTGCGGGGGGGGGGGGGGGATGAGCACCCGGAGGTGGAGCTCCCTGGGGGCCAGCGCCGAAGCTGTCTACCACGGGCAGGAGCGCCCCGTCTTCTCAGCTTCTTTCCCCTCAGCACCAAGGACAGTGAACGGCACACACAAGACACACACTCGGTGGATGTTTGTGGAATGAACAACTTACCCAGGGAGGGAACAAACACAGAGAACGGGAGGGAGTGTTGAAATTCTGATGGCATTTTCCACTAAAACATAATGTGCAAAAGGGAGGAGGAAGCATTCCTTTTCGTATATGATTAGAGATGTTTGCATTGCTATTGTGTTGTCTAACCGTTTGTGTCTACAAATATTTTAAAATTTAAAAAATCATTTTAAAGGTGAGAGTGACCCAGTCACTTTGCTTTTCTCTTAAACAGTTGAGATAATTTCCACGGGAAAAAATGGGAAATTTCAAATGTTCATTTATTATTTTTTTTAATGTTTTATTTATTTCTAGGAGAGAGAGAGAGACAGCGTGAGCAGGGGAGGGTCAGAGAGAGAGGGAGTCACAGACTGAAACAGGCTCCAGGCTCCGAGCTGGCAGTCAGCACAGAGCCCGACGCGGGGCTCGAACCCACGAACCGCGAGATCATGACCTAAGCGAAAGTCGGACGCTTAAACGACTGAGCCACCCTGGTGCCCTGGGATTTGGTGTGTGTGGGGGGGGGGGCAGGGGGTGGATGTTGGGTGATGCCTGCGTCAATAAGAGAGGTCGTCGTGGGACGGACCCTGTTTTCTAGAGTGGACTTGGGTGATACTCGTTGCAGCATTACCGAGTTTAAAGTGGCGTCAGTGCGCTGGGCACTGAGATTCTTCTGCAGAATGGGAACAGGATGGTTAACACAATCTTACTTTCTCACGAATATGACATAGTATTGTCAAACGTGGCTTCACATTTTAATTTTCAACTTTCACAGCTAGGTAAAAGTGAAAGCATGTAATGGTCAGGGTCATCTGGGTCTTTTTATTGCTCTGTAATATGCTTCACTGGAACCACATTTCTGGCTAAATTTTGGAAATTTGTGTCACTGGCAGCTGTTAACACCTTCCTTTATTTTGTTTTTAATTTTCTAAGCCCCCATGAACTAGTTTATTATGAATTTTTAGTTTTGAAATGAAACAACGCCACAATGCTGCAGGACACGTAAGTTTTGATTGCATATTGTTAATTTAAGTAAAGTAGGAACTTTGGGACTTTTCTCCTCCAATCACAGACCTGCGTGTGGCAGTGACTAGGGACTAGTCCAGCGTATCAGTAGGGAGCGGCCATGAGGACCATGTCAGGGGAATACGAGTGCTTTGGCAGGAAGGCTCAGCCCGCTAGACCGACACAGTGCAGTGTACATCACTGCAGGGAAACATGAAAGTGTGTTGCAAGACAAAGCTTAAAAGAAAAAGGACATAAAATGGCTGGGAGAAGAAGAGCTGGTGTTTCTAGTACAGGATATAATCTACTGTACTTTAAAAGAAAAGATGGAAGGAAGAGAGAGGGGAGAGAGAGAGAGAGAGAGAGAGGAATGAAGAGAGGGAGAGAGAGAGGAGAACGAGAGAGAGAGGGGAAGGAAGGGAAGCACAGAAGGAAGGAAGGAAGGAAAAGAAAAGAAAGGATGAATCAAGGGGGGAAAGTTTTCTGTTCTCTTTAAAATAAAATAAAAACAGAATGGGAAAGTTAGGAAAAAAGTTGAAAAACTCCTGACAATTTCTATTAAAAAGGACTTGAGGTATCTCTGCTAGCATTTACCAACTTGAGCCTTTTGCCCAAAATGTTTTTTTTTTATGAATCCTATTTAACTATAGTAAAAAGCATTTTTTAAGCAAGGAAATATGTTAAAGGTTGTTTTCATCTACCTACATAACAGAAATTGCAGGGAAAGGCTCTTACTTAGTTTGTGGAGCTCAGAAAGCCACCTGAAAGGTGGGCAAAGCCCAAAGATATTTGCTTAAGGTATTGCACATATTTATAGACTCACAACATCTTACTTTCACAAAGGACTTCCTCATTCGTTGTTCCCTGCTCATCAGCCCCGGCCACTGGCCAGTGGAGTAACGATGATAGAAATTCCCATCCTGACACAACAAGTTCATAAATTCTGTCAAAGTAGAGACTGTTTTTGGTCAGCGCTTTGTATTTCAAGCTGACTGTTTTGAATAAACGAATGTGGAGAAACAAGCATTAGAGTTTGGCTATCTTAATGAAACTGAATTCCAACAAACAGGTTAGGAGAGTTTTCTAGGTATCGATCATCAGCTCTATCCTTTCCTGCCCCTAGAAACTCAAAACATAGCAAGACTGTCATAGATATGCAACCAAATACCTTCTTGGGTCTCCTGCCCAATTGCCATTATGCTGTCTTTCTCTTCAGAAGCTGGTTTCAATCTCCACTTCTCTGTCCCTCTGATGACAGATCGATAGATGATAGAGAAATATAGAGATACGCGTGCGCGCGCACACACACACACACACACACAGAGTGATCTTGGATATATGTGGCATTGCTGTTTAACAAAAGCAATTTCCTCAAATTCTATAAGAGCTCTGATTTCTCGGGATATGGAAGGACTCTATAGTGTTCATCGCGTATGGGTAGGACCCCTTCTGAAACATAAGTTTATTTTGCACACCAGATAGTCACTGTGTATACTCTCTACCCCAGAGCGTGTACTCTGTTTCTCTGTGGATAGACCAGTCCCTAGCAGTGGTTGTGTGACCGCGATGTGTACACATGGGTTTGCTCTGCACTGAATAACGCATGTGCGTACTTGTTGTCTTGGCCAAAATATTGCAGGGAAAAGGCTCAGCTTGACTCAGCATAGGTGAGATACCCCTCCCGGACCAAGCTGAAACCCGACCGGACCATCTTGCACATGGTGGCTCCCGTGAGGACGGTGCAGGAGTCGTCACTGGATCACGGGGGCCACTGCAGTATGGCAGCTGAGCCAGCGTTCGGTTTGTAACTAACGAGGTGGTTTCGTTGTCACAGAAGTTTTTCGATCAGGACCTTCTTTTCTCTTAATGACTTTTCTCGGGTTAAAGAATCAATGCTACATAAAATCCAGCTAGACTGTGACCTTTTAAGGTCCTGTGGGTGGAAGACCAAGGTCTGACCCTTTAGGGGCTTAGGGCAGGGCCGCTGGTGGACCCTTATCTTGGCACATGCAGGGCACAGGCTTAATGAAACGATCATCGCTCATAAGCAGCGTACCCAAGCTCTGCTTCTCAGCAGGCGGGAATCAGCCCTGAGAGTTTGCTCATGGTTCCGAGAGTGACGTGAAAGGCAAAGTTGGGGCGATAGGAGCCTGAAAAGCAAGACAAACGGATCAGAGCCGCAGTCCTAAGCTTTTAGGCAGAGAGGGTGAATTCACGTAAAAGACAAGAACTTGGAACCAGTGTGTCAAACCAGAGCAAAAATATGTACAAAGAAGGGTAGAAACAGAAATAGCTGAAATTATTTTATGGTTTAGCCACAAGAAATTCTTCTGGGGTTCTTTTACACCTTGGGAAGGAACCACGGAAAGCAATGAGCTGATTCTGACACCACAGTAGTAATAACGATAATAAGAGCAGCTAACATTATCAGACACTTTCTGTGTGCCAGAATGTATGCTAACGGCTGTATAACAATGATCTCATTTGGCAGACCAGATTTTATATTTAGTTTATTTTAAAATGTAGATCCTACGATATATTTCTGTATAAAGAAATCAAAGAGCGTGGCTCCTTCTTACGCATTCCTTTCAGCACATAACCTTTGGGAATATTTTGATGAATCCTTAATTTTCTGACATGCAATGATTTTAGATTAGATTTTTAATGTGATGGTGATAGAGTTTTTATGGCTTGTCCTCCTCAGTTGCTTGAGAACGTTCTGGTGAGTTGTTAGCCCTATACTTGTATGTAATTGTCATTTCTCTGGCAATTGGCTAATATAATCATCAGGAAATCATTGCTTTTTTAGCCTTTAAAAATGTGCTATTTACCTCATTTCTATGGTTTTTCTGTAAGAACTCTTCGTTCTGACTTAGCTGTTATTTAAACATTACTATTATCTCTCCGACAGCTTATCAGTTTGGCCAGCTTTCAAGGCTTAATTTTTTTCCTTAGGTTGTTTGATTGTCCGGAGAGCACATGAGACTGCTTTGTTCCGAATTTTAATGGCCAGTTAGGGTAGGAAGCACCACTTTTTGTTTTGAATATATTTTGCCATGAGTGTATATTTTTTCCCCTGTAACTCAAAATATTGTATGTGCATTAGGCTTATAACAAGCTTAATTCAAATCGTACATGTAAATATATTTTGTCTAGTGGGCTTTCCTGTTAACATTCCTGAGTTTTTGTTTTAGCACCCTAATGTGCTGCCTTTTACGTTAGAACAAAAGCCCCCAAATGTCGGTTCATCAGCTGACAATACCAGTTTTGTCTCTTAATTAGAAAAGAGAATAAAGCTGTTTAGCGGTGTCAATAAAATGACAGATGCATCATTAGCAGACGGCTATGGTGGATCAGTTCTGTGCAAATACTTGGAATGGAATTAATAGGAATTTCTGCTAGCATATTTAAATCACAAGCTGGGGGAAGAAAGCAGTGTTTTAATGCAGTGAAGTAGGAAAAGAAAACGGGAGTGAACGGCCATTTAAGACTGAATTAAGAGTGTAAGGGAAATCAGGTTGCAGTAGATAATAAATTACTGAGAATTTTATATATTATTAATATATCACAAATGAGCCATTATGGGTATTATATGATTAATTCATTTAATAAATATTTATTGAGGGTCTACTACATGCCAGGTGGTAAATTTAATGAGAGAGTACAAGCCCCGAGTCCAAACCCAATGTGACTGTCCCTTGTAATTAGTAGGACAAAATTTCAGTTCAACGATAAATCTCTGAAGAGGTTCTTTGAAGTTTCTGCATTGGATGGTCTCACACTGTGTAAGACCCATGTCACTCAGTGTGATTCAGAAGAGAATTCCATTTAGTCCCTATTTCCTAAATGCTAGGCAAGGTCGCTTCGCAAGCGCAGGCAGGTGCAATGGCTGTGTCACGCTCACGATGTTGTATCGTGTTTTTCAGTGATCAAGAAGCAGTTTACTCACAAGGGATGCCTGGGTGGCTCCGTCGGTTAAGCGTCCGACTTCAGCCCAGGTCATGATCCAATGGGTTTGTGAGTTTGAGCCCCGCGTCAGGCTCTGTGCTGACAGCTCGGAGCCTGGAACCTGCTTCAGATTCTGTGTCTCCCTCTCTCTCTCTGCCCCTTTCCCTCTCTCTCTCTCTCTCAAAGATAAATAGACATTAAAAAAAAAAAAGAAGCAATTTACTCACAAGACTAATCACTGTGTTTATTCAATTCTTATATTCCCAGTACTTAAAATAGTGGCTCCATAAAGTGGACAACAATACATATTTATTAACAAATGAGTAAGAAAAGAATCCATATAAAACTGAAGGCAACCAATAGACGAATTGGATAAATTGGAAGATATGAATTATCATGCTAAAAGACCTTCATTTTATTTGAAATCTATTCATTGTTTGTTCATTCCGTCAGCACTTAGAAGTGAGTTATTCCATGTGCTGATTGTCCTGAGGGTTGAAAATGAAATATATAATCCCTGCCGTCCAGGAGCTCCCCGTTTAGCCTTCCTTAGTGGAGTGATTCTGATAAATGAGGGATCCTGCCCATGATGTATCACCCCGTGAAGTGGAAGAATACAACATCTCACAGACCTCTAAGGGTCGGCCTTGGAGCCATGCGAAAATGCCACTGTTCGGTAAGTCTCCGCAGGAAAACCGTATCCACCCTTAGTCAAGACCTACATATGTAATATGGTGGGTGATCCTGGGTTCATGCCTGGAAGTTTCTAGCGTGTCCTCTCAGGAGCTGCCGTGTTCTCTGTCCCAGTGTGCTATCTAGTGTGTTTAACACCCAGAGGGGATTTTTTAACACTCCTTTCTCTATATGACAGTATTGTTTAATGATAAGTGATAAGGAATCAGTAATAAGCCTTTTTTCAATATTTTAGTTTTAGATGAATAAAGAAATTCAATTTAATAAGTATTATCCAAAAATCAGCAAAACACTTCACGTGTGAACTAAAATTCACATTTCGCGAACAAACATACTAGGTCTTGCAGTTTGCATGGTTTCGTCGTTTAAGATTTTAAGCAGAAATAAAAATCCCAGAGGGTCACAGAGAATGACAGAAATGTGACTGGCTGCCTTTCTTCATCATTACAGTCATTGTGCCATCATATTTCTTTAGAATCCACTGTTTCCGTAAAGGACTATGTAGGTCCACCGAGCTTAGCAAACATGAATTACATTCAGAGTGAGTTTATATACCTGCCAGCAGTTAAGAATTGCGCTCTTGAAATAAATGCATGTAGCTGAGTCTGGCTGTGTCAGGAAAGACAGCTGTATAACTCGTTTTTGTAATTTAACTTTCTTGCAGAAGACCATGTTCGTAAAAGAAAATGTAAGAAAATTTGCTAGCTTGCACAATATTGTTGAAAAACGTTGGGACTTGGTGATAGTAGAAACAGACTTACTTTTAACAGTTTCATCATTGTTTTTCAACTCTCTGTGGAGTGGCCACCTTACTGCCGGTGCCCAGCGTGCATGGCTCCACCATTCTGCTCTTGATCTGCCGTCGCACTTGACTATCTGCTTTCACCTGCGGACCGAGGCCTACCCAAACTCAAAACCAGGGTTCTCCTCACGCAGGCCCTGGGAGTGCTTGGTGGCCCGAACTGACACTTCTGTCTAGACCCTGATCTGTGTGAGATTGCTTGACTACTCCCTGAGTGTGAATCTCTGTCATCACTCTACCCTGGTGCAATCCTTTTATTTAAATGACATTCTAGGCTTGTCTGCCTGGACCTACCTTGCTTACCTGCCCCTCTTTGCCTTTGTAAAAAAATTTTATTTATTAGTTTTGAGAGAGAGAGAGAGAGAGAGAGAGAGAGAGAGAGAGAGCATGAGCCGGGGAGGGGCAGACAGAGAGGGACAGAGAATCCCAAGCAGGCTTCACGCTATCAGCACCGGAGGCCCATGGGGGGCTCCATCTCATGAACTGAGAGATCATGACGTGAGCTGAAATCAAGAGTTGGACAGTTAACTGACTGAACCAGCCAAGCACCCCCTTCCCCCCTTTGCCTGAAAGGACAGTGGTCTTCCTATCTCACGTTACTAATCAGCCCACACCAGCCCCTTGCCTTTGTCTGCATTCTGTCCCTGGCGCATCCGCCTCCCTGGCTTGTTTGCTGGCCCAGCATCACTTTACAACCTAACTCCTTGGTTTCGCTGGCCAGCAACTGGGGAGTAGCCGACCGGTAAGTGGAGGTATGATGTGTATGTTTCTTCCAGGCTGCAGGTAGAGACGGGACCCAGTGTTGCTTTGACCAAATGAGAGGGTTGGGAAATGCCAACGGATAGAGGCAAGGGACAGTGAAGGCGCCTGCCTGCCCACTGTCCGTGTTGCCCATGTACTCACTCTTTCACTAACGTGACCTGGTAGAGGATTTCCAGGGTTTCTCTGCCTTTTTAAGTCTTTTCTCACTCTTATTTTTCACTGTGGTGCCAGGATTTTTAAAATAATCCATTCTACACCTAATGAAATACCTTTAGTGACTTTACCTTTCCAGTCTGTTCCAGATCTTTCTAGCTGGCTTCCAGACACCAGGCTGCCCTCTCTATCCTTAACATCATCCTCCATCCTCCCCCAGCCAATTTCTGTCCCTGTGCTTGGTTTGGGTTGATTCCGTCTCGTCCCCTACTCCGTCTGCCAAAAGTTTGCTTAGCCTCCGGGGTACCAGTGCCCTTCCTCCCCCAGCAGCTCCCTACTGTCTTCTCTCTGCCCTGCGGCCCGTCTGAGGACACCCTTGTATAGCCGTTGTTACTTTGTTGGAGTTTGTGTAACCTTCTTGTCTTCGCTTCACATCTTCAGAGGAAGGACTGTATTTTGTTCCTTGTATATATGTTCAGAGTCTGCCACTGCTGGTGACTCTGAGCTAGCCATTTGGTGCTCAAGCTAGCCATTTGGCATTCTTTAGGACCAGAATGTAGATCATTTTTTTTAAATAGTTAAAGAATAAAAGTGATAAAAACGATGCTATAGAGACTTTGTGAATTACCGCTCTTATTTACTTACTTTTCGCAGAGTTTGGAGTGAAGATAGAGGTAAAGTGGTCCACACTGCCAAATTTAAAGAAATCAGAGAGAATGCAGACAAGGAGCCCTGTGAAACTCAGGGGATCGAAACTACCTGTGTTGTACAGAACACCATCTAATAGTTACTATTTTAAGACCTCCAGTCATTAAAAAAAGTCTTTAAATTATGATCATTGTGCAGTGATATCGAGTCAGGGAAATTTGTGATAAAATTTATAAGTGTTGCGATCCTGAACATTTTGTAATAGTTGAAGCTATATGAGGCTGACTCATCGAAAATATTTCATTCCTCTATGATCCAAAACGAAGGAATTGCTTTCTTTTTCACTAATAGCACTTCCGATGTACATGGATTTTCATTGGTAGTGGGTCTACTCAGAGCTAGGCTACTATGAAAGATTCTGCCGCTTATTACATAATATTACATAGATCAACTTGGTTTCTTCAAGGACAAAAGAGCTCAGTCCACTTTATCTTTGCTTTTTTTTTTTTTTCTTTCACATAATAACCACAAGGTGAGGAGGAAAGAAGCTGGACCTTCAATGCCATCATTTATTACCACTGATTTTTTTAAAGTTATAATTACTCATTCATTCACACATTCTTCTTTCCACAAACATGTATCAAATACTTACCATATGTCAGACACCCTGCCGGGTTCCAGGCAAACTCGGTCCCACAAGGTCGAGGGTGTATGGTGTTGACAGACAAGGGGTCTCCTCTGTGGTACGGCATACCCTGCACCGACGGCAAAGATGGGCGCTCTTTGCTTTGGGAAAATAGGCTCTTTTGAAAATGGAGACACGAAAGCACACAAGAGAAAAATGGAAATGAATTTAAAATATCTGTCTCTGTGCGCATTATAGCTGTAGTCAGTACTCAGCTGTTAAATCCAGCAAAAATTCCGTTGCTTTAATTAATTTCTTTGTGCTGATTCTTCCTAGTAAGCCTTAATTTTAACAAAGTTAATTAGGTTGAAGATTAAAAATCCCATTAGTGTCGATCATTCACTTCTTGGCTCTGTCAACAAGGTGCTAAAACCTTGTTCAGTTCCGGAGGGGCAGAGGAGGGAAGGGGCCAGAAACAAGTGCTCAAGCTAGCCATTTGGCAATCTTTAGGACCAGATATTTAAAGCTGTTTTTAAGGCTTTACATGGATCTCTGATACCAGAGTCATTTTAAAGCACATTTTTGTACTTTTCCAAGCATCAGTTATCTGAGATTCTTCAGACCTGTGGCTCTTTATTTTCTGAGAGGTCTATGGCAATTGTATGTTTGCTGAGAAACTCCATTCCATCTCCTCTGATTATCTAATTTGCAGGTTTGCAGGGCATAGATTTTTAATCAAGGACCTGTTTCCACTGTCACTTTGTCTGTCAGTTTATTATGGTTAAAGACTCAGTGGTGGCTAATATGTCACCCAGAGCAGGAGAAAACAAACAATTAATAAACGCATGAATTACCTACAAGCCATGATTCTGTTCAGAATATTGGTTTAAGTTATACTTTCTGCTTTGCCTCCCACACCTGTGCAGCAGCCTCACAGGCAGAGGGGGCCAGGGCCAGAGCAAGAGAGCGGGGGCTGCAGGCCTGTGTGTGTGATCCCTTTCACAATGGAAGGCCGTTAGTGGGAAAGACCCCAGGCAAGATGGCGGAGGTGGGAAGCCATCTGAAATCAAGTTCAGACAGGGGCTGGGGCATCTGAGTGGCTCGCTTGGTTAAGCGTCTGGCTTTTGGTTTCAGCTGAGCTCATGACTCACAGCTCGTGAGTCCAAGCCCCGTGTGGGGCTCTGTGCTGAGAGCGGGGAGCCTGCTTGGAATCCTCTCTGTCTCTCTCTCTCTCTCTCTGTGTCCCTTCCCCACTCTCTCTCGCTCTCTCAAATAAATCAATAAACTTAAAAAAAAACTTTAAAAAATTCAGACAGGGGCATGGCAAGGGCATTTCTGAACAGAGTAGGCGGCCATGGGAAATTTGATCAAGGGTCGACATTCAGAAAACAAAGTAAACATTATTCAGAACATTATTCTCCAAGTAGATTCACCTAAAAATCAGGGACAACCAGAACAGGGACAGCCCATCAAATTTATCTGGGACATGAGAGCCCACAAAAGATGGAGAAACTCCAAAAGACCAGAGCAAATGGGAGGGTGAGTAGGTAGCTTGAGCCTTCAAAGGGTGTGTGTGCATGTGTGCATGTGTCTGCGCATTTGGGTCAAAAAGGGTGTGTAGTGATGCACATGGCACATCATCAGAAGCCTTGTCTTCACACGGGGAAGTGGAACATCTTTCCTTGAACTACCATTCATAAATCCCGACCGTTGGCATTATTATTATGTTGACAGCTTAAATCGGTGTGAATAGGTCGGACCATGAGAGGCTGACACATGAAATGCAAAAACACAGGGTTTCATTTATAAATGGTCTCTTGCTAGGATACCATTGAAAACCAGGGCCTTGGGCAAACTCTGTAGAGATGGTTTCCTCTCAAGAATCTGTTCATAGGCTTGGGTTTCCTCCACCTGGAGAATAGAAGTACCTATTCATGGAGAAGCAAGGTGGGATTTTTTTCAGGGAAAATGTGTTCTTTTGGCCCTTCAAGTTCATCATTTAAATAATGAAGATGAGAAACGGTTATTTCTGGGTCCATTTTAATTCTAAAAATTTATGATACCTGGCTCTCCATGTGTTATTATCTCTGCTTAACTTATCATTCCCCTTCCTCTCTTCTTTGCTGAAAAAAAATCTTTGAATCTGTCACCTATGAACTCGCCCCAAAACATAGCCCTGCTACTCGGGAAATCTTGTTCAAGCCCGTTGGGCACAGTATTTTGTCTGTTTCTCAGAGCTTAGGTGTTAATTAAGTCTTCAGCACCCCTCTTATCTCTTCACACACTCCCTGTTCCGGTCAACCTCTACTGCCTATGAGAGTCTTCTTGAATATGTTCCAACGTACCTTCTCTGTTCAGAGCATCAGCCTTAGCTCATGCATTTTGCATCACAGCTGAAGACAGGAAGGAAAAGTCTTATTGGCATCCTGCAGAGGGACAGACAGCACATCGGTTAATCCCTCTCAATAGGTGGAGTCATTGTTTTAAGACATGGTTTCTCCACTAGAAGCTTTTTGAACATTTAAAGAAGCCCGCACCTTACCTGGCCCCATATATATATTCACTGAGCATATTCTTTATAAAAAATTTTTAAATGTTTATTTTTGAGAGCATGAGTGGGGGTGGGGAGGGGCAGAGAGAGAGGGAGACAGGATCTGAAGCAGGCTCCAGGGTCTGAGCTGTCAGCACAGAGCCGGATGCGGGGCTTGAACCCACAGACTGTGAGATCATGATTTGAGCTGAAGTCGAACACTTAACCAAGTGAGCCCCTCAGGAGCCCCTCACTTAGCATATTCTCTCATGTGCCAAGAACATAAACTTCGAGTCTTCATTCCTTGAGCGACAGAACTGGACCTTGCTGGTCCATCTGAAATGGTCATCTGGCCATTAGATCTTCCCTAATTAATATGACGTACAGCTCTGGGATGACAAACACATCTCTTGGGTTAAGGTTTCAAGGAATCTCAACTTTCTCTCCATCTGCCCCCTTCCCTTATAGACACGCATGCAAACACACACACACACACACACACACACACACACACACACACACACAACTATTGAGTAAACAGATAGTAAATGTGATCAGTCAGATAGTAGGAATCATGGACAAGAAAGATGAAATATGGGATCTTTTCTCCCTGATAAATAGTAGGGTGGGTACGTGTTGATGTGCTTTGAAGGAAAGGAGAGGAAGATGGAGGTAAGAAGAGGCAGAATAGTGTCTGCTTTGTACTTTGTACTTTGTCAACCAACTGTGTTATATCTATATTGTTTTCCCATTAGTGCAGGTAAAAGGCACTGCATACCCAGAACGACTTAATCAGTCATCTCCATTCTTTAATCAACTCAGAAACAAGAGTCTCCAGCTCCAGGTTGATGTAATTTCAGCTTTCAGGAAAGACTTTCTTCTCATTAAGGTCCTAAACTTGGCTTGTTTCTTAGTTACCTAAAATTAGAATGGCCAGTCTTCCCTAAGTACATATTATTAATCTGCTCATTATTATTCAAAATAATTTATTGAGTGCATACTATGTAAATCACTTTATACACGCGCTAGAAAGGAACAAAAGAAGTAATGAGAGTATCGTCTCCTGTTTCAGTTTAAATGTCACTGTTTGAGCGAAGCCTTCCCAGACTGCGTGGTCTCAGTGCAGCATCCTGCCTCTTGCAATCATATCTTCTTGCTTTATTTTCTATGCAACTTCGTCACTCACTGTGTTTCTTTCAATTAGTGGTGTGTTTAAGTGATTACTAGTTTTCCCCAAGAAGGATGTAAGTTTCATGATAACAGAATCTTGACGTCTGTTCAGCTCTTGTGCTAGCTCAGGTTCTCCAGAGAAACAGAACCAAACCAGCAGGGTATGTATATATGCACAGGTATATGTGTGTGTGTGTGGTATGTACAATAGATGACACGTATATATGACACACGTGCACGTATATAATATGATTTATTTCAAGGGATTAGCTCCCAGGGGCTGTCAAGCGTAAAATCAATCAGGCAGGATGGCAGACTAGAGACTTTAAGCAAGAGTTGATACCCTAGTCTTGACGAAGAATTTCTCCTTTCTCAGGGAAAACTCAGTTTTGCTTTTTAGACCTTTCAACTGATTGGGTAAGACTGACCCCCATCATTGACAGCACTCTCCTTTACTTAGAGTCAACTGATCGTAGACATTCACCACATCTACAAAATACCTTCATAGCAACATCTAGGTTAGTGTTTGATTCAGTAACTTGGTACGATAGCCTAGCCAAGTTGACCCAGAAAACTAGCCATCACGCCTGTATTCTCTACGCTTAGCACAGCGCCTAGTGCACGGTGGATAGCCAATAATATCCTTTGGCTGCCTACTAATTAATTCATTGTATAAGCTTGACAAGACACCCTATAAGATGGGACCCTGCCCTCCTGGGCTTATGATCTAGATGAGAAGACACATCCCACACAAGGAAATAATTAAGCCAGAGCACCAGGAGTGTGTGATTCAGAGCTAACATGAGTGATACTAGGGCCAATCCAAAAAAAAAAAAAAAAGAAAGACTAGGCACTCAGAGAA